AGGCACTTCAGTCTCCGGTATATGGCTTGCTCCTGATGCCGGGCACTGAACGAGAAGCGCCGCTGGACTCGCTCCACGAGCTTGATCTCTGCACGATTGAAGGGGCTCTTCATGGGGTTGCCGTATTGAAGGTGAGTCCTGGCAAATGACTTGAATGAAATTGGCAGGGTGATTTCGATAAGATTCGAGAACGACCACCGGATCAGAAAAAAAGAATCCGCTAAGCCTTCGACACATATGAGGAAGCCTGCCTCCTGAAGTTCAGCTCAGGTCGATCAGGACACCCAGATCTCTCTCGGCTGAGGTGGAGGCGGGGCAGACACCATTAATGGTGTAGAAGTGACCAGAGTTTCTGGTCCCGACGTTCAAGGACGCACGCTTGCTCTGGTTGAACGCAAGCTGCACGGACCATGTGGTGAAAGCATTAATGTCAAGCTGGAGCAGAGATGCATCACCGGCAGTATCAATAGAGCGGTACAATTTTGTGTCGTCAGCAAAAATCTCGACGCAGAACCTCACGGCGTCGCGGATGTCGTTGCTATACACATGGAACAGAAGGGGCCCTAATACAGAACCCTGTGGCACCCCGCAGGTGACAGGAGACCAGGTGGAGTGATGGCCTTTTACGACGACTCGTTGCTGTCGACTGGACAAAAATGACCTGATCCACTCAAGGTGTCCAGTCACATCATATGCTCTCAGCTTAGCGAATAGGCGCTCGTTTCGAAAGTCCAAATATATGACGTCTTCACTCAGGGCTCCCATCACCGATCGCTCGGCTCCAGTCAGCAAGTACTTCCAGCAGATGTGCCGTGCAGGATCGGTGTGGGGGAAAACTATGCTGGTGACGCGACGAGTGGGGACAGTCCTTTCGAGGTGACGTATACCATCAATCGGTCCCTTATCAGCGACTCCATGACCTTGCACGTCACTGCAGTAGGAATATGATACCTACATCAGATAGGCCCAGTGCTTGTGAAGTCTAAATTTGAAGGCGTTCTTCAAAAATCGTAGTCGCTCTTCATAGGGAAGGTGTCTGATTGAAGTTATCAGGCGCGTTGCTCTCCTTTGGACAGGTTCGATCAGAAGTTGGTCGGCGCAATGGAATGGTTCCCATGCCACGTTGCCGTATCCAAAGTGTGGGCGTACAAGTGTTGTGTACATCAGTGGGAGAGTTGACTTGTCGATAAGCTCGAGCGACCGTTTGATGATTCCCAGGATCTGGTTAGCCTTCGCCGCAGCAGAGGCAGCCTGTTTGCGGAACTTGAACGAGGAGTCCACGAAGACACCAAGCCTGTGCTCAGCTTCAACCGCCTCCAGTCATTGTCTTCGGATGGCGTATTTGACCCGAGGATTGTTGCGTCACAGATGCGGGATTTTGCATTTCCCCTCGTTGAATGGGAGCTGCCAGCGGTCGGACCATGCGACCAGAGCATCGATGTCGCCTCGGAGAGATGTCGTTGCCGTTGGGTCTCGCGCCAGCTGCATGGGCGATTGTTGGGCAGAGTGATATCTGCCACCTCCATTCGGTGAGACTGCCAACTCTCCCTCCGCATCAGCCTCCGACACAGTGCGTGGGGTTTCAATTCTGCTCATCATTCGCCGGTTGGGTATGTTGGGCGGGGTGGTCTCTGCGACAGCCCGTCCCCACAACCTCAGCGGCTCCTGAGCGGGAGACACTGTCTTGCGTATTGTCTGAAAGAGCTTCGTATCGTCAGCAAACATCTTTACTGAGCAGTCGACCACAGAGGGAATGTCGTTCACAAACAGCAGGAACAAGAGGGGCCCAAGGACTGAGCCTTGAGGTACTCCACCTCTGACGGCAGTTGGTTTCGAGTGGCTCTCATTCACGACTACTTTTTGTGTGCGCCCAGATAAGAAGGCCTAAATCCACTTCAGGAGTTTGCCTGAGATCCCAAAGCACCTAAGCTTTTTCAGTAGTCGGACGTGTGGTACCGCGTCAAATGCCTTACAAAACTTTACGTATGCCACGTCACAGACTCTCCTTGTTCAGGCATATTGGTCCAGTCCTCCAGTACCCCAAGAAGTTGGGAACTGCAGGACATTCGGGGACGGAACCCATGCTGGTGTCTACACAGCTGGCCGGTGGATGTCAGAAACTCGACCAACTCATCGCGCACTAGAGATTCCATGACCTTGCATGGGATGGACGTCAGGCTAATGGGCCGGTAGTTCCCCGGGGTACTTGCTTCCCTCTTTGTGGTTTGGAACAAGGTTTGGAACCACTGTTGCGGATTTCCATATCGAGGGGAGAATACCTTGCTCCAGGGATTCGCGATACAAGGACAGCGGGCCAGCCACAGCCGCTGAAGCAAGCTGCAAGAGTTATGGATGCAGGCCATCTGGGCCAGGGGCAGCGTCAGTCTTCAGGTTGTCAGGTTTATGTCGCGCTGCTTCAGCTGAGATAGAGACAGTTTCGATTTGCTTACCAGCAAACTAGCTGGTTGGCTCCGGAATGTGAGACAGATCCTCATACTAAAGAAGGCGTTTAGGAGTTGCGCCTTACCACCATCATCACACACAACGGAGCTAGAGGCATCTATGAGATTAGTCCCGCCTTAGTCTTCAGCCTTGAATTCGAGTATCTCCAGACGACCTCGGGATTGGTTTTTACATTCTTGACAAGGTTCTCCTGGAGGTCTCTCTTCAATTTCCCAGTCAAGGCTCGCAGGCGGTTTCTGCAACGGGTATCTCTGGTAAAGTCGATAATGTTTTGAGCCTGGGAGTAGATCGCCCACAGCCTATCCTTCCCTTCTTTAGTTGCAGAGCTTGGCCATTTATGTGGATATTTTTATGGCTGTTTTCCCCTTGCTTCTTGGGAAACACTCCAGTGCACTTAAGCGTACAAAATCCATGATGAACTGGTGTTTTTTCCTAGATTGCCAGACTCCCAGTATGCATCCTGAATCATCCTGATGAGCCTTTGTGGGTTCCCCTTTAAGTAGTTTCAATGATCTGCCGGCAGGACTCGTTCACAAGTGTAACAGAGCAGGTGGAGCCCCAGAATGACGTGATCGCTTTTCCAAGGCCGACTTCGTGTTTGGGGTTTCATATCATTCCATCCCCATTTGCTATGATCGGGTCCAGTATGTGGGAAGTGTCACCTGGATGGAAACGAGTAGGTTGGGAGACCTGCTGTCTAAAGAAACAATCATCCAAATTCCAAAGCCTTGAGAACCTGTGGGAGATGGTCAGTGGCAAAGCAGAAATTATCATCCTTAGCCAGAGGAAGGTGCACCGGGCACCCACAGCTGTTCATTGAAGGTCATAAGGGAAAGTGCTACCTCTATGACTTGGAGAGAACTCCTGATGTATATGTTGACACCTCTGAAACTACTTGAACCCAAGTCAGGTTGTGAGACATCAAAATTGGTGTTTTATTGTGTCTGCACTGTACATGTCTTGGCTTTTGCAGTCTGTGTGCATGTCTGCAAGCCCTCTCCCCATTTGTACTGGTCTCTAATTTCAAAAACCCTTCTCCAGCATTCATCTTGTCATGTCCATAGGCAAGCTCGAGAGCCTTTCATGTCTCCCCCGAATCTTTGATCTGCCAGTGATGTCAGTCAAGTTGGTCATAAACAACCTTGGTACTTATGGAAGATTGGCTAGTTCAGGTACAAGTTTTGTTGCTCTCATTTGGATCCTTTCCAGCCTGTTAGCATCTTTCTGGAGAAATGGGGACCAAGGTCCAAGCTTGAATGACATATTCCTTGTGAGGGCATGTCAGAGTTTTGTAAATTGGCAGGAACAATTCCTTGTCCATGTAGGTGGATGTCCTCTTCACTCTTCCCAGCATGGAGTTCGCACTGCTGCTGCTCTCATCACCTGCTCTGACAAAGAAAGTGAAGGATTTCTCCTAAATAGCATACGAGTGAGTCAACCTAAATAGCATACAATGAGCAAGTCAACCGAAAATGGGTATGCATATCAGGAGCATAAACCTTCAACATGTTCTCTTCCAAGCCTTGCAATAGGTAACTGCTCGAGCAAACGTTAAATTTCAATAAAAAGCAATACAAATAGGTCTCACCTCACGTCTCAAGCTAAGGACAGCAATTCTCTCGCTTCTTCATTGCTTCTGAAACTTTTGAAAGTCAGTAGAATTGTATCTCTTTGTAAGTTTAACATTTATTTGCTAAAACACTTCAACATCCTCATTATCAACGAGGATCTTCCTCGTCAACGAGGGTGTCCTGATGGACCAAGAACTCAAGTTTAGGAAACAGGCAGCTGCAGCTACTGCCAGGGCCAGCAAGATCATGGGTGTCATTAAGAGATCTTTTCAGAAACTGGATCATGAAACTCTACCAATTCTCTTCAAAACCTTGGTGCGACCACATCTTGAATATGGTAATGCAGTATGGGGACCTTTTAATCGTGCGGACCAAATCCTCGTCGAGCGTGTACAGAGGCGCGCTACAAAGCTTGTCCGAAACATCAGACACAGACCATACACAGAGAGACTTCAGCTCCTGAACCTGCCATCATTGTATTATCGTCGTAGAAGAGGCGATATGATCCTGGCGTACCAGATCTTCCATGCTGGCATCGACATTCACCCAGAAATCTTCTTTGACCAAGCAACCGGAAGTATCACCAGAGGGCACCAATGGAAGTTGAAGAAGCTGCGTGCCGAATCCAGGATCAGGAGAAACGCATTTGCTTCAAGGATTGTAAATGACTGGAATTCCCTTCCAACCTATGTGGTCAACTCACCCTCACTCAACACATTTAAATCCAACCTAGACTGTCACTGGGCGGACCTTGCCTTCGCCATCCCCGAACAGGACCGATAGCCTGGCATCCTTACCATGAGCTTGGTCAGAACGAGACCCACAGGCCTAGTTGGCCTGACAAAATCTCGAGAAGCTGTAAGTAAGGGGCCTTGGTAACAACTGGATTTCCATTACGTCATGGGTGATGATGTCACACCACGGGTGACGTTTCATTGCTGCTGCTGCTGTCCACGGAGGGCAGCGTTTGTGAGTGGAAAACAGTAGCAACATTGTAAATGAAGGCAGTATTGGCGCTTATGCTACATATGAAATTTATAACAACATATTGATATTAGTGAATGTTTATTTTTGTTGCTTTTCATAAACCCTCCATTTCAGGGTCTGCATGCTAAATTTCTGTTATTTTAGAGTCAAGCTATTGTACTAAGGGATTTATTTTGGCAATTTAGTCATTTGTTAGGTTATAAGGCTGCAGAAACTTTTAGTTGAGGTTGGTATCCACTATCCAGTTGCAGCTATAATTGTGTCATATTTTGTATCATTTTCTGAACATCAACATGTAAACACCTACCTATATGAATTCAAATTTTGTGATTGTAGAAAAGCAGTTACCCTCACATTGCAGCGGGGATTAGAACAATTAACCACACTTGTTATACAAAAAGCCTGTTTGCCATCAATTTTGGGAATCCAAATTGGGTATTGGTAAGGTAGATGTAGCACAAGCTGCCCGATGCACGAGAATGGGTCTTTCTAACCAAACCTTACCTGACCTGACCTACAACATACAGCCTTAAACCTAAAATTTACAACCTACGACCTAGTCCTACGGTATGACATATCACAACAGCTTGTGCTACGTCTGCTACCATGACCCAACTTTGTGCCAATTCATACCAACTTGGGATGACAGTCACTGCAGATGTGTGCTGACCATGCAGGTCTTTGTTACAATTGCAATTCTATTGTGTTACAGGTTCGGCGTTCTACAGCTGCGACCCGCCATGGCTGGGCCACCGCGGCGGCATCACCTTCAGGGTGGACCTGCCCGTGGCCACCTGCCGGTCGGACCCGCCTGCAGTCCGCAGGGAAGCTGCCCTGCGAGCCATTGCAGAGCTCCCGCACCCGGACGTCACTATCTGGTCGGACGGCTCGGCTCGCGGCGGACGGAACAGGGCGGCGCAGGCGCTGATCCAGTTCCACCACCTCAACAGAGAAGGGACCGTGCGCGCTCCTGCAGGGGCGGTCTGCTCCAGCCTAAGAGCAGAACTGACCGCCATGCGCGAGGCGTTCGCGGCTGTGGCCGGCCTGGGGGACGGGGAGTTGGCATCGACCAAGTCGGTCCGCCTCCTCACCGACTCAAGGTCTGGGCTCCAACTACTCGGCCGCGGCCCAGCTAACCAGACCATGGCCCTGGCCGCCGAGGTGTGGAGGCTGCTGAGTGCTGAGCACCCTCGCCGAGAACGGCACCGAGACGGTGCTCCAGTGGGTGCCAGGCCATGCCGGGCTGGACGGCAACGAAACCGCCGACCGCCTGGCTGGCGAGGCCACGGCGGGCGACCAAGACAGCGCACCGATCGACCTGTCGAGTGCGCGGGCCGCCGTCACGCGCCATGTCCGAGAGCTGTCGCGACAGAGGGCAACTGCTGCCCACCCGCACCCGGACCCCACGCCTGGCCACGACTCCCTGGCGCGCTGGGGTCGGTGACGCTGTCCCAGCTGAGGACCGGCACATCACCGCTGACCCGTGACACGCTCCACAAGATTGGCCCGGAAGCCGACGACGAATGCCCCGCGTGCGGGGAGCCCGACAGCGCGGCGCACCTACTGACCGATTGTCCGGCCTATGAGGCGGCCCGCCGCCGCCGCTGGGGTGTCGACCCTCGCCTGGTCGACGTCCTCGGCGGCCCGGCGACGAAGGTCGTCACCTTCATCGAGGATGTTGGGCGGACCGAGCCGCCGCTCGACCCGCCTGCGCCGCCGCCCCCCTGAGCGAGTTGGCGATGGGATGCAGAAGAAGAAGAAGAAGCAACTGCCAGCGCGCCACGGCGGCGAAGCCGAGTTCCGCCGCTGGACCGCCCGCGCAATGGCCAGCACAGACAAGAGACAACCGAATCACAACACCTACAATTACGTTATTGTTATGGTATTGACATTGTTACAATTAACCCTGCTCTTTCGAGCGTGGATGCACGCTGAAATTGTCGCATAATTCCATGCAGCTTCCACCCTTCTGCAATACAAAGTTTGAATACAATGTAGTCTTACAATAGGTTTAGAACTTATGTGCAGATTGTCGATGCTGGTTGACTTGATGATTGGAATTGTGTTTATCTGTTTCATCTGTTTTGACTTAAATATATGGCCATGGACTATGGCCTACCTTGGGAAGTGTCTCTGATTTCAACAAAACATTTTTCATCAGGATACGCTACAGGGTACATAGTACATGCGTAGTGAAAATTTTGAGCATGTATGGGTGCGCATGTGGAGATGTAGACTGCGAATGAGACGGACTACGACGGTTTTTGAACCAATTAAATCTGATTGACAACGTAATGTAGGACTAAAAACTGACTGTCAGAAGAATATTCACAGAATATTCACTTCACCCGTTACAACGAAAAGGGAAAGTCAGGGAACAGAGGCAGGGTACATCTCGAAGATCAATCAAATTGCAGGTGCCGATTGGTTATGGATCATCGTAGCTCAATGTACTGCCTTGTGCTGCTTTATTGATTGAAATTGCTTCCAGCTTGTATTAAAAGAAGTCATTATGTAAGATTTTAAAAAGGTTCTTGAAAAATTTAAATACTTTGAATTGATATTTCTGCAGAATAATACACCCGTATCATTCTTTACATGTCAATATTTGTATATTATCTAGCAGGTAAGAAAATAGTGGCCTCAAGTTTCTAGAAAATATCTGATTTTGCTCTCTGGGCCACTGCAGATCCCTAAAAAGTTAGGAGCCGTCTTCATTATTTAATGTATAAAACCAAATAAATTATCACTGCTCAAAAGTGGAAGAAATGACAAATGAAAAAAAAAGTTTTCCTACAGCGTTGCAATCCAGATTTCAAGATAGTGATGGGCGCACTAGAAAGCAAGTAAAAGTACTCCACAAGGTAAAAGTAAGGAACAAGAATATCCTTATACTGTTTCAGAATTCGGTAACAAACATTTTTTGTGTGTTTTAAATACCCGAACGAATCGATTCCAGAATCAGTCTTGATGATACTATTTGGTTTTTGTATGGTGTTGGTGGTACTTGAATGACCAAAGTCAGTACATGTCCATCACCTTTCGATATTTCCGTGGTGCTCGCTCCCATTTCATAGCTGCTCACGGTGTTTTCTGCTGACGTCATATGGTGCTGCTCCACTAGCGCCACCATACGGCGTCAGCTGGCGAATTATCCAGTTAATACCAGAGCCCTAAGTAAGTAAGTAAGTAAGTAAGATCTTGGCATTTGCCGTGCTAAATACCCGCGTCCTCTCTCCGCCTCTTTCTTTTTCTCATGCAATGCAAGCAACTCGCTAGTTCAAAACTCAAACTCCTAACTCAACTCCATTATTCACCAATAGAAACAGCGTATGCAGGTTATTCAGCTAATTCGAACACGCCTTGATTGTCTCACAGCTTCCCGTCTTAAAGGGAAGCTGTTCAGCTTTTTTTGTAAATGCTGCTGTCGTCATCGTTAGATTTGCCGCATGCGTCGGATTTCGTCATACGAGTTGAATGAGTTGAGTGAGTTGAGATACGTGTTGCCCGTGCGCGGCTTATAGAAGCGGGGATTGCGGGATTTCTCTCAGTGACAGACGGTGTGTTGATGTTTTGATATTTAAAAGGTGAGTAATGCCTGTTCGTTATCTTGACTCTTGAGCAATACATATGATATGGTGACCCAGACCACTGAAGTAACAAGTAACATAGGTAAGTGTGGCAGTTACAGTTCATCTATCAGACTATAAGTCCATGGTACTTATTAGAATATATTCGATCGTCTTAGATGAATAGTAACATTATTTTAACAATTAAGTCTTCACGTTTTTAATTGTATTTCACGGGTTGAGTAAGTTTGTCAAATTAAGTGGATGCTGACAAATGAAGTGGAGCCGCAAGCCCACGCTATGCACTATGCAGGACTTGTATGGAATCAGAGTACATCAAAACCAGTACAGGAATCAGTAATCAGTGAGTAGGTATACCATAAGCTATTAGGATCAAGCTTGAGCTACTGTTGTGACTTGTGAGTCTGAGAGCTGCTTTGTGGCTTCAAAGACTGCTCCAGAGAGGTGATTTCGGTCTTGACTCTTCAGTAGGCGGAACTATGGTCATGAGTACCCAAATATAGGAACGTCCCCATTTTTGGGAACGGAGTTCCCAAATATGGGAACGGGCGTTCCCATTTATGAGAACGGAAGGCAATTTTTCGGCCGTTCTCCCACTAAAACTCAAAAGTGCATCACGTCTCAAAAAAGTGCACGCTGATTTAAGTATCTACTAAATCTCCATAAAGTTATCTTTAATCTGACCGTGGAACAAGGAAATTGACCGTGGAATGATATTTTTAATGATTTTTTGAAAATGACAGAATGGTGGAAATATGGGTTATACGACATTTAACATGCAATTTTAAGGAAAATGAAGCATTTTTTAGTTTGAGGTAAAGTATAATAATTTTCGCCTGGTTATGAACTTTCATACTATCGACACCAGATGCTGACAAATGCAAGCGAAGACGCGGACGGTCCCGAGGTAATATTGTTGACTTTTGTGTCGGGGCGGACGACCGCGTGGAACGTGAGTGAATTTACCGAGCTACTGTTGTAAACTCAGTTTAAGCGGTTGAAAATTATCCAGCTGTATTTCATCATCCCGGAAAGACATATTTTATTTGGATGCCAGCTGTTTAGAGTTGTTTTATAAGGAGCGTCATGAGCGTGGTTTTTGTCTTCCGTGTTTCTAAGCGTGATCGTTTTGGGGGAATTTCTCTTATATAGCTCGCTCTGTGTGGCTTATTTATAATTTTTATGCTGATTTCGATAATTCCTCGTGCCCATCCTACCAGGCCTTTTGCCACTTACACTCATCAAGAAAGGAAAAAACTAGATTTTCATTGGGACTAGGTGTTTTGAGGGTGTAACATATTCAGCGTTCCCATTTTTGGATACTTCCTTGTACTCGTCAACTATCGGTGATAAACAGACAGGTGCTTGACATGTCTCCACCCTCAGCGCGGACGGTGGATATAGGTATGGAAGACCTTGTTGAACATCGCTGAGCGTTGTGAATTACGTAATCCTGCAGAGGGGGGCGTGCCCGCTGCGAGATCGACGGGAATAAAAGCGCAGAAGACCGGGCGAAACATGCGACGGTCTTGCCGGAAAGGTCATCTGATGATTGTTGCGTCAACAATAATTTGCGGCGTTGGACGTGATGCTTGTTAATGAAAAGAGCCCCTGAAAGGCGTCGGTGAAATCGTTCCCAATTTTGGGTACGCCGTTCCCATAATAAGGAACGCTTGCAGCGCCAGTGTACGAGAGCGTTCCCAAATTTGGGCTCGCGGCCCGGATGATGGACTGCTTTAGAAATAGGGGAACGATTTGAAACTACGAACGAACTACGAAACTACGATACAATATCAAACTCTTTCCCAACAATATTGAGACAAATATCAGGCGGTTCACGATCGTTTTATATTTTTTGGACGTCATTTAACGGTTCTTTTTCTTGTTTTAAATAATGCCTACATGGCGTTCCCATATTTGGGTTTATCGTTCCCAAACATGGGAACGAAAATGCGTTCCCGAAAATGGGTACGCTTGACCATAGTTCCGCCTACTGTCTTGGATGCCTCAGGGGGCATATACTCCAGAAAAGGTTTATCCTAAGTTGGAAATTACTAAAATTTTGATTCCTTATGGACCGCTGTGAAGTATCTATGAAGCAAATTTTTTAATGGAAATTTAGTTATTTCTTTTTTTAGAAAAATGACAATTGTCATCGATATTTGGGTCTGCATGATGAGCAGTTGCCCAAATGGGTCTGCCATTTGGGTCTGCCAGCCTCTGACTTTGAGTCTGCTGGAAAAACTACAGGCTGTCAGGAAAGCTTAAAAGTCAATGTCAAATGTGCCCACTGACCACAATCACATACCTGAGACAGGATCTAACATCTGTCCTTCACTTAGGTGCTTCCATAATTTTGCTATGATTCCCACCAGTAGCAGATGGAACCTGTCGAAAGCCTCCTTATGTTGAGCACCACAAACACTCAAGCTTGAGCATTCACCAGTGACTATTGCAAATCTGACTGTTTACTATTTGGATTGTACAATGATCAATGACTGTCAACTGGAGTGCCAACTTCGGAAAACTGCTGTCTCAATCCAAAGTGCCACAATGACAGCATACTGTTCCCTTCCATAACCCATCCCTGCCCCCAGTGCAGAGCTTTGCATTGAGTGCCAGAGGCAGTGGAAGTTGAACTTATATGAAATTAAGGTTGATGCTGTAAATACCTACTGAATTACATGGTAGACAAGTTGACAGTAACTAGAGCAATACAGGATAGACAAATTAAACTTAAAACACTAATTAATGAGTGAGAAAGACCCATTGCTCACTTATCATTAACATTTTAAGCTTTTCTCTCCACCAGCGATGGCAGGAGTGGAGAACACTGGGGAGGCTGGAGCCACAGGTGGACAGGAGGGGCCTGAGGCATCTGATGGAGCCTATGAATGCAACATATGCCTGGACCAGGCTCGGGATGCTGTGGTCAGCATGTGCGGTCACCTATTCTGGTGAGGCTTTTTAAGTTGACTGTTTAGTGTTAACAATTGTTTGATTGTGAAATGGTATGCAATCATAAATCGATAGCAGTGTTTTTCCTGTTTAGTACCATAAATCAATTAAGACCTATCACTTGAAGTTTTAACATCAACATTCTGCTCTGAAACAAACTAAATGTTGAATGTTGTGTGGCCTGGCTGATATGTGACTGTAAAGCTACTAGTTTTTTCATGCCTTGTATTTTGTATGTTTCCAGCTGGCCATGTTTGCACACGTGGCTGGAGACACGCCGCAACAACCAAGTGTGTCCCGTCTGCAAGGCGGCCATCAGCCGTGACAAGGTGATCCCTCTGTACGGTCGCAACAGCTCCAACAAGGATCCGCGCAACCAGCTGCCTCCGCGACCGCCGGGCCAGCGCACAGAGCCTGAAAATCAGGTACGGTTCGTCCCCTCCGAGCTATCGCGATGTAGTTTTGTTTTTATTATTTTTTTTCTTTCCTTTTCTTTTATCGGAGATATAATGTGTCAACTTTCTGTTGTCTGTCCCGGAACTTACTCATTCGCGTTGTTTATTGGCAGGGTACCACATTTGGTGGAGTGAACTTTGGCGACACAAACTTCCACATGTCGTTCGGAATTGGCGCATTCCCTCTGGGTTTCTTCGCATCCACACTGAACTTCGGTGGTGAACGGCTTAATCCTCATGCCGGTAAGTTTGTTTGATGCTATCGTTTCTAGTTACTTATTCATTTATATTTCGTACTTTCGTGCTCTCCGGACATTAATGTTTATTTTGGAGACGGCGTATTTCTGCGTTGCTCATAGAATTAGATGAATGTATTTGAGCTGCCAACATTATTGTCACGTCTTTCTAGGCAGCTTATCAGCTGATATAGTGGTGAATCTCTGCTAAAGCTTTATCATTGAGGGTGTCTACCTTCACTCATTTACAAACATTTTTCGCCCGATGGGCAACCGGAGCAACGTCATTTTCTCCTCCATGTTCCGACTTCCAGATTTGTTTTCTTGCTGGATCTCGCAGGTATTCGACTTTTTGTACAGGCTCGCCGAATTACTCTTACGAGTTATTCAGAGATGTTTAACGTGATGAATAGATTCAATGCATAATTCAATGCAATATGTATAACTCGTAGTTTTTGAAGAAGTTTGTACAATGTGTCTGCCTATTAGTTTGTATAATAGGTTGATTCTACGAGTGTCTGAAATCGTTCGCCTGTTCTGATGACAGGCTTAGGGAATGCGACAGACTGCAGATAGGGTCACTCGATAAATGTGCTTCAGTGTAGCACCATTTTCGAAACATGCAAAGGTTGCAAAAGATAACCATTAATTCAGTGTAAGCAAGCTGACGTCACGCATCGTTCTGTACAGGTTTGCAGCCTGGACAGCAGTTTCACGCCGACGATCAGATGCTCTCCAAGCTATTCCTCGGGCTGGGCATCTTCTGTGTGATCTGGATCCTGCTCGCATAGTATGTTCCGACTGTACACGCTTACGCATACGATCACGGCACATATCGGTAGGGCCGTCTCCGTCTGAGTCGTCACAGGTGACCCTGCAGCAGAGAGCAGGGCACGGGTCCGAAAACAGACCCACTTGCTTCACTCGTACGTATTACACCCGCACCGCATTTCAAGCGACAGTGACGATATATGATGGACCGTAATGTCCATGACACGATGCACACATTTCGAAATGCAAGTTAGATGCTGATTTCGATTCAAATGCAATATTATGGAATATTAGTTTGATTTTCTAGCGTGATATATTACATGATTAGCTGACCACGTTAATAAACTTTGCATGTAACTGTTAAGGTGGCGCATGCAATAAATTTACATCACTCGTTTAGTACCGTGCTGCGACCGTACCAATGTTGCGAATATTTTTTTATTCCTAGATTGTATGAGTATCTCAACAAATTTGGTCGTGCTTGCTCTCCGGGATTTCATGGTCACGTATTTTATTGTCTTTTCTCATTAAAGTGACCATCCCACCTTAACATTAGTTTTGAGCTGAGATAGCCAAATTGGTGGCCATGGCCTGAAAATACCGGTTTGGGCACTCACAACATCGAAAAATGCTTAAATTCGGAGATATGGAATTTCAAACTTGCAGTTTTCGGATTCTAAGGGGCTAATGCATTGGTATGCCACCTTAGAATTTGTGACGTCAGCGGAGATCTCACGATTTTTATATCTTCTACTAAAACGTTTGGTATTACGCGGTGGTATATGCTGCTTTGCGCGCAACAAATGCCGCACTTTCAAATAAAGTCGCTAGGAACAGCGGAGATCCCAAAAAGTAAACAAAAGTAAAAGTCTAATATCTTGAAAACCGGTGAATATTTTTCGATGAAATTTGGTAGATTTTCGTTTTTGCTCTTTCTGAACCGAGCGACATCACTTTCATGCCAATTCATTAACTTTTTTGAAGGTGGGAGGGTCCCATTAACTGATATTGGGTTTTTCTGCTCACCCCACCCAGACCCAGCAGTGATAACAGTACCGCGGAACTATTTGCAGAAGCGGGTAGGTAATATATGAGTATCTTATGACACGTTACGTCATAAGAGACAAGGTGCGCCGGATCAGGCGCACACTTATGACGATCGTAGTGTCGCGAAAGGATCAATATACACAGATAAGTACTGACTGAGCTTCTGCGTGGTGCTCCTAAGTGTGCTTGGGTTGTCCCGCGATCATTGTGCTCGTCCTCTTAAATGTGATAGATTCGCTTGTAATGATGCTCGTTCGTCGCATTTTGCGATGCGATGGTGCGATGAAATATGACAGAGACGAATAAAGTTGCATAATGCGATGCATAATACGATGCATACGATAGTGAGTTATCCGTAAGATGAAATAACAGCCTTTCGGAACTGCATCCCTAGCTATCTGGATCTTAGGCCTACGAATAGCGATGCGATGCGTTCTGAGTTGGTTATGCGGCATTTAGTGACCGATCAATGCGTTAGATGTGCAGTATATATAGCAGACGATAGCTCCGAGAATGGGTGATTTCATCAACTGCCTTGAATATTCCACTTCGCAGCTGATCGACTGTCGCCTTTTACTTAAACAACTGTCATCACTTGTCTCGCTCATCGGTCGCTATAGCAATGTGGATAGATAAGGCGCCTTGACGAATGGGCCAGCGACCAACCCTTGCTCACCGTTACTGCGTGGCTTGCTGTATGTCGCCGCGGGCCTGTGTGGGGGTTCGGGGTCGGCTGCTGCCGAGGGCACGGGTGTGGCGTTGGCGCAGTGTGGCCACCGCGCTGTCCGCGCCACCTGCGATGTGCCAGTTGGGCGTGTGGTCGCCCGCGGCTAGGTGTCGGAGACTGCGCCCACCTCGTCTTCGTGCATGACAGACTGTTATTCGTGTGTGTGTGTGTGGGGTGTGTGTGTGTGTGTGTGTGTGTGTGTGTGTGTGTGTGTGTGTGTGTGTGTGTGTGTGTGTGTGTGTGTGTTTCGAAACCGGTCGTCAATACATCTATATTTAAGGGTGGCAGCCCTGTTGCAAGAAGGCTTTTGTTGGGAACGAAACAGAGGTCACTTTGTATGTACGTCGCCCACAACACTCATCGCTATGATCATGAAATGTTTGTGATTTGCTTCGTGATCACAAAAAGTAAATCTTCAAGTTCATACATATCCACACTTCTGGTTCCCGTCCATTCGATACTGCACTGAGAGTCGTTTATTTGCATTGTATGGTAGCATCTTGTCTCACTGCTACCCCTTCTGCGGTTCTGTTGATCACTGCCCCTAAAATATTTGATCAATCGAAAAGGGGTTGGAACTGAGTGACTGGCGACGCGCTTATCGACTAAACGTCGTCAGGTGATGGCCACTGCTGACCTGCAGGGGTGTTGACGTTTACGTCCCAGCATCCGACAGTGATCTCGGCAGCAGTGGGAAGGACGAGCAAAGGGACACTCGTCAGCCCCTGAACAATAACAGATGTGTCAAGAGCAACGAACTGAGACCAGACGTGTGGTCGATACTCGATTTTACTCGAATCGTAATATGTAGATCAGATTAAATGGGAGCCCCAATGTGATTATAAAAGGAGTCCTAATAAGATTGCGAATGTGATCCTATAAGTCTTACTCCTGATAATGATGTTTTCAGACTTGTCTGTATTGGCCGTACAGGGTGTAACGAAATTATCCGGACATCTTTCTTCGCGCTGTAATTAAGAAGCAAGACATTCTGATATTTTCCCTTTTGAATTATTATATAGCCACCTTTCATAAGAGCGCAGGTGCACATTTTTGGAGCATTCCAGCCACTGGATTTTCCAGCACAGTGGGTTTCATATAGAGTAGCGCCTTACTAACCTGTGCCCGCAGTTGGGCGGCGCTGGTGGCGGGTGTCCCCTCATTCATCTCCTGATGGACAATAGTCCATAATATATCGACGGAATTGTATGGGAACTATTTCCAAGCCATAGCCCTTTAGCCCAGAAGAACAAAAAGGTCCTCTCGGCATCACTTCTCATTCTGCTAGGGACTTGAAGGTGGTGCTCCGCCCCGTATGAAGACTGCGCGGCTTGAATCAGGCATCGGTACACGTTCAGAAACCGAGCCATCCTGTGCCGTCTGGTTGAGTGGCTCCAACCAATCGCTAGCCAGGATGTTGCGCCGGTAATACTCGTCACTGATAGTGGTTATCTGTGTCGTCATGAACAGCTTGAATATTACACAGCAGCTGAACATGCTCCAGGTCTGGATTTTGGCCGGATGTTTGACGCCGGCGACGGCCGGCACATTCGAGCTGCTGGCAGCCCACACATGGCCGATGTGACCGCCGCATGTACGTATGAATGTATATGCACCGGCTGTGGCTCGTCGCCGGCCAGGTAGACCGCCGGGACCGGCCGGCCGCGAGGGCGCCGGCCGCCCGGGCCCGGCCTGACCGGGCCGCCTGACCCTTCCGCCGCCGCGCAGCCTGGGAGGGCCGAGACCGGCCCCCCTGTTTTTGACGGCGGCGTCTGGAATGTGTATTGTCCACGCCGGCGTCCCCGTCCCAGGTAGGCGCGCGGACCGGCCAGGTGCGGCTATTTTGGGACCGCTGCGCGTCGCTAGACGTGTTTTTCTTCTCCCTTCGTTTCCGGATCTATTCAGCCTCCCCATCTGCGCTATTCGTCGTGACCCCATTTTTCGTCATATTTAAGCTGATGTAAACATGTTTCCCGTCCTGTTCTGTTCTGGCCTCCGCCCAATGCGGACGTGCGCCTGTCTCGTCTTGGTCGTCGCTCCGCAATACAGAAATACCTCTTCAGTGCTGTGTCGGGAAGTGTGGAAGCAACGAGACACAGTGAACAACAGTGAGCGGGCGGAGTTAGAATCGGGCGTGTGCGGCGCGTGCGCAGCTCTTCATTCTACACAAGTTACCTTACCTTCACTCCTCTACCCTTCCTGGTCTGCTGAATTGTGGGCCTCCTTGTCGCTTGAATTGTGACTTCTATCTCTACTCACTTAACCTTCCCATTTTACCCTTCCTGGTCTGCTGAATTGTGGGCCTCCTTGTCGCTTGAATTGTGACTTCTATCCATGGGTGTAGGAGCGCCAAAAATATTAGTGAAGGATGTCACCTGACCCTTCTGAGAAAGTACAGGACCTTGCCGAAGTGGAGGGGGGGGGGGGGCGAATTTTGCCAACCCCTCCTGTTTTTTTTTTCTCGCAAATATCTCACGCCATTATCATCTAATTAACCCGCGCCCTGGTGGGGTCTGTTTATAACGCGACCTGGGGGGGCTATTTTTTTGCCCCCCCCCCCCCTGGTATCTCCGAAACTACTGGACGGATCCGCAAAATTCACAAAATTCAAACGGCGTTCGAAAGGCCTGTCAAATTTGTCGAAGGAAACCAAATTTCATTGACCTCTGGGTCACCGATGACGTCACAGGTCAGGTCAAAGATGAAATGTTTCACCGTTCACGGGTCTTCTAGGGAATGCGCTATAACACCGAGGAAAACGCATTTTGGTGAGAATCAGCGATAGGGCGTCAGTTGCCTAGTAGATATGTTGTTATTAGAGGTCACTGACAATACCAGGTCAGGTCACAGGTCAGGTCACCAAGGGTCACAGGTCAGGTCACATGAGCCCAACTTTACTAAGGTTGTGTGATGCATGTTTTATGGCCAATTTTTCATTTTCAACTCAATGGTGTTGGTTATAAGACTATCAGGTACGGCTTAGGTCACTTTCTGGTGAAGTTCAGGTCAAGGTCAGGTCAAGGTCAGGCCAAAAAAGGTCAAATTTTAAAGTTGATAGTTTTGCATAAAATGGGTATTTATACGATGCAGCTCGTCACGGGGAGTCTAATGGTGGTCTTTGTTTTGCGCTACGGGGTCTAGGATTGCTAAAAAGTGAGTTTGAAAATTTGACGTCATCAATTTTGAACAGTTTTTTCGCTATAACTTCGCCAAAAAAGGAGTTATCAATCTTAAATTTGGTATGTGGATGGAAGATGGTAAGGATATTCTGGTTTTTGCGAAATTCAAAACACTTTTTGGATTTTTCGATTATTTTATTATCGAAAAAAATATATTTTTTTATTTTTGGGGGTCAAAATCCAAACATTTCAAAAATCCGAGATAGCAGTTTTGTAGCCCTGTCAATTCTACAGCTTTTATGTCTTTATCATTTTTCTGTATTTGCAAAGCTATAGGCCTGATAGCTCTTCCCGCGAAACCCTTTTTTGGGTCGAAAACAGCAGAATATGACGTCACTCTGACGTCATTTCCGGCCAACCTATCATAGCCTTTGGAAAAAATATTTGGTCACAATGTGTAAAATTGATATCCGGGAGGGTACTGAAAGTTTGGTGACGATCGGCGCAGCGGTTCTGGAGATATATAGAAAAGTCTGGAGGGGGTGCAAAAAATAGCCCCCCCCCCCACCAGGTCGCGGGTTAACGTCAAATTTTCAGTACAGTACATGCCTAAAATTGAATTCTGCACCTTGCCATGAAAGCAATGAGTAAATCTGTGTGCAACCTCTTTTTTAGTAACAGGGGTGTACAGTCAAAAATCCCTCCGGAGTGGCGACGCGGGCGGTGCCGGCCGATTTTCACTGCCGGCGCCGGACGGTTACGTCTTTGCGTTGCGCTGCTTACCGCTGCTAATGCTCGATTCGCGTCAATATATCATTGCAACTTAAAAATGTACGGACTACAAGCAATGTTATAGTGAAAGAAATACGAAAATCAGCCGGTAACATTATGAGTCTCGTCACTCGTGTGTGCAAAGCAAACACAAAACTGACTGAAACGCTTCCACTAGCACACTAGTGGTGCTAATCGGAACTTGGACCTTCGGAATTCCGATTTTGTCCTACAATACCCAATTCGGAATTTGATTGGACACAGGCAGCACGCTTTGGACAAACTCAGTCGAACCCAGTCGTTCTAAGCATTGGTGAAGACCCTCACATGCATTGCTCAACATTGGTGAAGGATCCTTCACCAATCTAAAACTTTGGTGAAAGGTATCATTCACCAAAGAGATACGTTGCTACACCTATGCTTCTATCTCTACTCACTTAACCTTCCCATTTTACCCTTCCTGGTCTGCTGAATTGTGGGCCTCCTTGTCGCTTGAATTGTGACTTCTATCTCTCACCTGTGTCACGCTGAATTGCCGTGGCTCCTGGCTGCTGAATTGTGGCCATCCTTCATATTCGATCGATCTGCCTAAAGCCCTTCGCCTACTTGTGTTGAATAGGGTGGCACGAGTTTCATTTCACCCAAATGCCGTGGACCCGCTGGTCTGATTAGAAAGGAGTGTCTACAGTCCGCTCCGCCAGAGGAGAGTCGGGCGCCGCGCGGAGCGGTGTACCGTCGAGCACAGGCCGGCGCGTGGCCGCGACATTTACTGGTCCTCCGGGCCGGATCCATCCGGCAACATGTCAGCAACAGGAGAAACAGAACAGCCTCCTGCAGCAGACCTGGAAGAGAGCGTCCCAAGAGAGAAGCGTCATGAAGCGGTGAGCGAGGAGTTGAAGGTGCTGCGCCGGAAAAGAGGACAGAAGTTGGCAGCCTTTTCCCGCGCGTGCCACAGAGCAGAATTACTCATCGCCGTTCGTGGAAGTCGCTCAACCTTAGAAGCATTGTACGAGACAGTCGATGCGGCGTTAGAAGGCATCATCACAGCGAATGATGCACTGGAAGCTTGCCTGTCGTCTGAAACAGATAAGGCTGATGCAGAGGAGTACTGTGCTAAGGCAGAACGCGATCGAGATGATATCACCCAAAGAATCGCCCAGCATCTAGCAGAGCGCAGAGATGAGCCGCCATCAGACGCCGGCTCTGTCGTTTCTGTCGCTCAGAAGAGCCAGACGAGTGCCGTCTCAAGAGCATCTCAAGTCGAAGCAGAGGTTGCATCAAAGATTAAAGCACTACGCCTACAGCAGCTTAAGCGCAGGCAAGAAGAAGAGCGACTGCAAGAAAGTCGAGAAGAGGAGAAACAGCGCCGCAGGCAAGAAGAGCAGCGCCAGGAGAGAGAAGCCGAAAGACGA